ATGATAGCTTTCATTTCAGCATTTATGGCTGTTAGCCATTTATCTTTGTTCTCAGTCGCGATTGCTTGTGCATAGGAAACTTCTCTATTTCTAGATCCATTTATGGTACACGTGACTTCGTAGTTTGGATTAACAATGTTGAAAACAGACTTAAACTGGTTTGTTATATTCAAAACATCACTACTTACCTATCTGGGATATTTTGAGTATTTCGTAAACTGGACTATTTGTATGCAACCAACAGATTATATAACTGTGTCATACACGATCCCGCATTCTTCTGACACAATACTTCAACGGGAGTAAGTGTCAGCCTTTCAGCTGGATACTGGTAAATGCTACATTAGATCAATCAAAGTACTGTTATTCATTTTTATTATTAATATGTAAGATACTTCATATTTAACTTATAGATTGTTTTTTCTTCATTATTATGGACCAGCTTATATAGTCCGATCTCTTCCGCTGGTAATTAGCACGAATGAGCCTGTAGCACTAACTCTAGCTCAAATCTGCCACCAGCCATCCGACGGTAATATTTTGTTCATAATATTATTGATTATTGGAGTAATCCACCTTCGTTTCTCTAATGCTCTTTAAGCTTAAAACCCATCTCTATTTCATTAGCTAAAATGATCTCAAGGTATTATGCCTTACCTATTTCGGTAATCCACGACAGAAAATTTGTAGTTATTTACTAAACAAATTGTATACAACGATTTACCATTATTGAACTGGATTTCTTTTTGAAAGATGCCGTATATTTGTGTGCAAAACTATCTAATGCCTTATTTATAAATTTAAGGAAAATACCATTTAGATTAGATCCAAGCCACCAGCGATGTATGGCACACATACAAACGTTTCTCATGGGGTGCAGAGACTGCATATTTGATGTTTTTAAGTAAATAATAGAGTTAATAAATTTTGTTCTAAATATAATAAATTTATATTAAATAATATAAATGATTTCAATAATCATTGACTAGCAGGTTTTATAGATGCTGTTGGCTTATTACAAATAAAATTATTAATCTTATTAATAGAAATAAAGAAGAAACTAGACTACAAATAACTCAAAAAGATATAATTTTATTAGAAAATATTAAATTATTTCTATCTATGAGTAAAATATCAAAAAATATAAATACTTCTTATGATGAATTAACCATCCTTAACAAGAATGGATTATTATCTGTTGTTATATAGGTACACGTAAACATATTACTCCATAATCCTCTCTTACGGAAGGGTTTAATTATAATATAACGTACTATTTAGAAACAACATCTTTTAATTCATTTAAAAATGTTATAAATTATTTAGATAAATATCCTTTATTATCATATAAATATTTAAATTTTTTATATATAAGAAAAGCATATTTAATATATATACATTTAACTATAGAAGGTATTAATAAAATTAAATATATATATATATATATATATTTTATCATAACCATCATTATTATAGTAATAAAGTATAAGATATAATCCCAGCATAATTATAATCAAGTTTTTGTTTTCCCTATATAAATATTCCCTGCAAAGGGAATGTCACACCCCCAAAGGGGGGTCATATAGAAGAGAAATCACCTACATAACAATGTGGTGTTATAAAGTTAATTGATGTATGATTATTATACCTGTTTTGGTGTTATATCACATAGAGTATCCACTTATAATAAAAGACCTTTATTTGGTGAAGTTGTTATGTTATACACTATGGGATCTTCAGAGACTAGACGTGGTGATACTTATGATTCATTTAAAATAATAATAAATGTCTTGCCCATGAGGCAAGACATCTTTTTTTAGATTTATCCTTTGTATTTAACAAAATCATAAGTATAAGAAAAATATTAATCTAAGATATTATAATTTAGCATCATATGTATGTTGAAGGTTTAGACATTGATTCTAGAGCTTTCTTTACAGAAGTGTAACAATGATAATTCTCGTTCCTACAGGTATAAAACTATTCTCAACAGATCAAGAATATATGTATATAAATATATATTGGTCATAAATATAAAACTATATATAGTTATATTATAGCTAACGGTGAAGATAAGTTAGCAACAATTTATGGTGAAGAATTAAGATTAGCTATACCAATGTTATTTGCTTTAGCTTTTTTATTCTTATTTCACTTTTCTTTTTGAAGTATAATCACTTTATTTTTTTAAAGGATACCATATATTCGTGGGAAAACCACTAAGGACTATATAACTAGTACTAGTTAGTGCTCTAAATGTAGCAACCCAGAAATACTCTTAGTTGAGATTTAGTCTGCCAAACATCTATTCATATTATATACTACTGTGTTTCTCACAGTGTTAAGCCCCAAGAATCCATATCACTTCTTCAAAATACAATCACGTGATTAAGAAGATTAAATAAGAACAGTACTTTAGTATAAGGACTGGAACAATAACATGAAGAAAAGGGTTCCATGGTCTAGCGGTATGACGTCTCTCTCACCCAGAGAAGGTCTCGAGTTCGATCCTCGATGGAATCATTTTTTTTAGAATTTTGTTTGCCTCAAATCCCTTAATTTTGCTTTTCGTGAAACATTTCTATTTCATTTATTGCTACTGCTTCATAAAAGGGTAGAAATATTTGATCTTTAGCAAAAAAGGAGTATAATCATAATTAGATTAATGCTGTAAAACCATGTTGGTTTCATAGAGGTGTGCATATAATCATTTAGATTTTCTTCAGTGAGTCGCACTTTAAAAAACGAAGGATAACCATGAGTTTTCTCGAATCAACAACAGTTGATACGTGACGAGTGATATGTTTAATCCAAACGTGCCAAGGTTTGGTGGTGTTATGGCAGGTTTAGGAATGTCAGGACAACAGGGTGGTGGTATCCAAAATACAGGACAGTTGCCGCTCGGGCTTCCGATACAAGGGCAACAACAAAGTTCTTTAGACAAGAATCCTAATTTACCAGTAAATGGACCATTACCAACACAACAGCAGCAGCAACAACAACATACACAAAAGGTACAGCAAACGCAGTCTACTCTGTTATACGCACTGCAAGGTTCCATAGTTGATGGCGGATCTAGAGCCTTAGGTGATGAACAAATATATCAATGGATCTCGGAGTTAGTAAATGGAACCAACAGAGAACGTGCTCTTTTAGAGTTGGGAAAGAAAAGGGAGCAATACGATGATCTTGCACTTGTTCTTTGGAACTCTTTTGGGGTGATGACTGTGTTGCTTGAAGAAATAATAAGCGTTTATCCATACTTAAATCCTCCCGTGTTGACCGCTTCCGTTTCCAATAGAGTCTGCAATGCATTAGCATTGCTACAATGTGTTGCGTCTAATGCCAACACGAGAGGTCTCTTTCTTAGTGCAAACTTCCCTTTATATTTATATCCATTCTTGTCTACCTTTGCAAGACAAAGGCTGTTTGAGTATTTGCGTTTGACAAGTTTAGGGGTGATTGGTGCCTTGGTGAAGAATGATACTCCAGAGGTAATCAATTTTTTGTTATCAACAGAAATTGTTCCCTTATGTCTTAATATCATGGAAATCCTGTCAGAATTACTGAAGACTGTTGCTATTTTTATTTTGCAGAAGATTCTACTTGATGATCAAGGATTATTGTACATCTGTACCACGTACGAACGTTTCCACACAGTTGCATCTGTTTTAGCGAAGATGATCGAGCAACTTGCACTTCAGCAACAACAGCAACAGCCACAGGGTGCTCAAGGTGCCATTTCTTCTTCAACAAGTTCTGGTAGATTGTTGAAGCACATTGTCAGATGCTACATGCGGTTATCTGATAACTTGGAGGCCAGAAAGGCCTTAGGTAGTATTCTTCCCGAGCCATTGCGGGATGGTACATTCCTGGCAATTTTGCAGGATGATACTGCAACGAAAAGATGTCTTGCCCAATTACTTTCTAACATCAACGAGGTGCAGCCTTGAGAAGAACCGCAGACATATAGGAAGGTGTTGTTTAGAGCATTCTACATTTGCATATGTAGAATATGTAAGATACTGTGTATTTTTTAATTAATAGATCACGATTATGCAACATTTATAAGCATCGTAGCATAACGTATCTTTATGTATTTAAAGATATATTTACCCCAAATGATCAATTGGTGGGTTCATTGGTTATTATCCTAATTGGGTAGCTCCTGGGCGGTAAAGCAGCCGTTTTTGCACAAAAAAGAAATTTACAATGATTGCGTTTTTTCCACATACATTGTTATCACTTTATCATAGTACCGTATTTAATATTTCATAGAGAACTCAAACAATAATTGACAATTGTTATATTAGCCTCAAGACATATACACGGCCGTAATAGCAGTTGCCAATATAATGTCTACGACAAATGAGAGAACTCACCAGTTCACGCATTCGAACACCCAGAGAAGAGCCTCTGTTGTCTACGGTTCTGTAGGGAAAGGGGGTTTGTTCATCCCTCAAGATTTCTTACATCGTCAATCGCTGTATGCTGAAGAAGACGAAGGCAACACTGGAGAATCACAGACACTCTTGGGTGTTTCCGCAGACTCTAGTTATGGTGAACACTTACCGGTTCCTGGTCTGGGACACGCTGAGAGACGTCGTTCTACGGTACAACATGAATTAATCGAAGAAGAAAGACAACTTCTCAAGGATGCGGCCGGAAAGGTTTTTGATTCATCTACAAGTGACGATGTTGTTGCTGAAGCTTTCGAAGAAGCTATCAAGACGAAAACTATCCATGATTCCACAACAGCAAAACGCGAATTAACACAATTGATCAAGTCATCTATTCCCTTGGTGATGACATTTCTATTACAAAATTCATTATCCACTGTCAGTGTGTTTACAGTTGGTCATTTGGGAGCCACTGAGTTAGCTGCTGTTTCAATGGGTGCCATGACAGCAAACATCACCGGTTATGCCACCATTCAAGGTATTGCAACTGCATTGGATACCTTGTGTCCTCAAGCCTTTGGTGCTAAGAAATATAATTTGGTTGGAATATATTTACAAAAGTGTTCTGCTTTGATTTTCTCTATCATGATACCAGTTTTGTTTACTTGGGCTTTCTTTGCTTACGAACTTATCTGTCTCATTGTCCCGGATAAGGAAACAGCCAAATTGCTGGCTGTTTATTTGAATGTTCTAACTCTTGGTATGCCTGGTTATATTTTCTTTGAGTGTGGTAAAAGATTCTTACAAGCACAAGGTATTTATCATATTTCCACCTATGTTTTACTATTTGCAGCCCCTGCTAACTTGGTTATGAATGTTGTATTAGTGAAACACTGGGGTTATTTAGGTGCACCTTTAGCTGTTTCTATAAACTATTGGCTTATGGCAGTTGGGTTATTATTAGCTACAAAATATGCTATTAAGGCAGAAGATACTCCCGCTGGATTCCACCCCATGAGATGTTGGGGTGGATTAAACGTTAAGGAAGCATTTAGTGGATGGGGTAAATTGGCAGGTTTGGCAGTTCCAGGTTTGATTATGTTAGAAGCTGAATTTTTAGCTTTTGAGATTTTGACTTTGATGGCTTCCTACTTGGGTACTACTGCTTTGGCTGCGCAATCTATTGGTACTACAATGGCTTCATTAACATATCAAGTTCCATTTGCCATTGGGATTGCGTCTTCTACTCGTATTGCCAACTACTTGGGTGCTGAACTTCCTTACTCAGCAAAGAAATGTACCAGGGTTTCACTTTCATTTGGGTTGGTTATTTCCTTCGTTAACTTTTTCGCATTGTACATTTTCCAGTACCAAATCGCTCGTTTGTTCACTGATGATGAAGGAGTCATTAGAACAGTCACCAGTGTTATGTGGTTAGTTGCGTTCATGCAAGTATCTGATGCTATGAATGCTAACTCAGCTGGTTGTTTGAGAGGTCAAGGCCAAACTAAAATAGGAGGAATTGTTAATTTATTGTCTTATTATATTGTTGGTTTGCCATTATCCATTTACCTTTCCTTTTATTCGCCATGGAAGGGCTCGTTGCACGGATTATGGATTGGTAGTACAGTTGCATTGACTATCATTGGAAGTGTACAGAGCTATGTTGCAATTTTCTCAGACTTTGACGAATTAGTCGAAGATGCCAAAAAGAGAACTTCTATTGAAGTTACTGCCTGATATACATTACTTTCATTGCTATTATTATTATTATAGTTTGCTTTGGACACTATATAAACAATATTTTATTAAAATTTGAGTATAATAATTAATACACAATCTATTTAGGAAAAACCTAAAATAATCTACATTGAAACGTCTTTAGCAGCAGGGGGGAGTCTTGGAACACCAGCAAGCAACTCACGCCTGATTTCAGGTCCTATTAAATGATGGAATCTTTGTCTGACTGTTTCCAAAAGAAAATCTCTTTGGTCATCAGTTATATCGTTCTTATATCTTTGAGCAAATGAAAGGAAAGCCTTATGCCAAACCACAGGCAATGGAGGCAATTCATTTGCTTTTTGTGCACCTTCAACGTCCATTAACTCTTCTTGGGCTTCGACCCTTCTGAAACGCATGAAATAGAAAACCAACTCGTCGATGGTTTGATAAGGCAATGCATATTTCTTTTCAATCAATACTCTAATGAAAACAGTTGTAGCAGGTTTGAAGTCTCTTTGACACAACAGTGATAATGCAACACTCGAATGCAATACGGGCACAGATGCCTTGGCCAAAACACTGGCAGCAATGGTGGCTTCTCTGACTGAGCATCCAGAGTCCACCAATGGGAACAAAAATCCCTTGAAAAAAGCACCTGGTTTATACAAACTCTTCTTCAATGCTCTATACAAATGGTAGTTAAGGGAATGATCTTCGGAGTCTTCGATACTCACTCTAAACTTTTCCAAAAGAACACTCTCCACATATTTCTGAGCTTCGTTAGCTTGTAAGTTAGACACAAACAATTTGGTACCTTCATAAACTGCGTGTGGGGTCCATTGTTCAGGGTTGGTGACAAACAACACGTCTTCCCAATTCTTTAAACTAGGTAAAACTTTAAACAACTTTGGTAACTTGCCGTGTTTGTACGATGCTAATATTTGTCCAATCTTTTCATATGCAGCAATAACTTTAGGAGGTAACAAGACAGCATCTTGTGGTCTCTCTTGGGGTTGGTTTTTCATCATTTCCTTTTCTTGTATTTTGGCCATAATTTTGTCAGCCAAGTTGATGGTACCGCCATTTCCTCCGCCCAAGTATTTGTTAAACAATTCTGCGTCCTTTTCGTCCACTTCAATTTCTTCCTCTTCAAAATAGTCCTCGCCTTCAAAATCAGAGTACTCTTCTTCTTCGGAGTCGTCCCCTGAGTCTTCAGCTTCATCATCTTCCTCCATGCCTCTGCGCTGTTTGAAAGATTCCAAGAAACTGGGTCCTTCAGTTTCATCTTCATCGTCTATTTCTTCTTGTTGTTCTTTAGCAAGCTGTAAGATCTTCCTAGAAGTAGTAGCATCCAAAAACCCTTCATCTTGCTGTTCTTTCTTTTGCTTGGTTAGACGTGGTGTCTCCCGTAAGTTCCCTCCTTGTGTGGAAAGATCTTTGTACAAAGGATCATGTCTCTGCTTGCTCCTGGAGTCGCTAACACTGATCTTGCCCATGCTGCGGCTGTTTGTATATGTACTTTGTAGCTGATGGTTATTTGGAATCATCGTAGCTCTTAAAATTTGCGATGAGATGAGGTAACGCTCAAAGTGTCACAAAGACAACCCCATACTTAAAACCACAATAAGATGAACCACTAAAACCTTAATGCTTAGTCAAGTAACATGGTAAATATGATTCTATACGTTTGAGCGTCTTGATTTATCAATAGTTCATTATTTTTATATATATTAGGCTATTTTTATAAGTCCATCGGTGGTTATATATTGAACGATGGGTTGTAAAAAGTGATCACGTGATACATGTTCCGACGGATTAAAAGTCAATACTGTTCGAATACCTCAATAGATTGCCTTTATACTATATATTCAGAACGCTATACTATTTGACATCCTATATTACAATAGATAGGGAGATAATTTTCTCTTTGATCAATGACTTCTCCAATATTCGTATGAAGTTCACCGATGTAACCCATGAAACCCCATCTTACCTTCAATATCCTCATACTTAATTTTGACAAAGAGTGAGGAGTAGAGAAACTCTTCGCCAGATAAGTCGTAGATAGGTAAATACCGATAGCCTTGTTTCAATGAATCAAACTTCAGAACAAATAACCCAATTGTCTGATATTCATCTGATTTATTGGGAGATAGAGAGTTGATCATGAATCGAATGAATACAAAACTGTGTGAAGCTGTAAAGGTGCCTTTAAACTCCTCATTCCAGACCGGGTTAAACCCATTTTGTTGAATAGTTGCAGTTCGACTTTGGGAATTGCTATCCTTGTCCCATTCTAACTTGTCTGTGCCGTAGAACTCAAGTTGGACCGAAGGACTTGCAATTGAACCACATTCGTAGTGACCGGGTTGATGTTCATTTTGACAATTACTATCTAATGTTGACTTCTCATTAGTTGATAATTTAGGTAATTGATGAGCACTGATGATATTAATTGAAAACTTTGTCTTGCGATGTGACGACGTTCTTCTGAGTGTCTTCTTCATCACAGGCTTTAATAATTCATTAGGCTTCAATACATACCCCATTCTATCGTAAGCGTCAAACATAGATTCGTTAATCTGCTGTCCCAAGTCATATGTTTGCCAGTTTGTAGCAACCATCTGGCAGCCATGATTCCAGTAAATAAGAGGGATAAAGTTAGATGAACTAAATCTCAAACCAGATGGATACACTCTCGACATAAACTTACGGTTATGTTTATCAAGAGAGGCTAATTTCTCTGGATCTTTCAACATTTTGTTAATAGCTTTCTCGCCAAATGAGAAGATATGATTGAAAGTCTTTGATTCAGGGAGAGAAAAGTTTCGAAATTTAGTACCCTGTAAATAGCACCCCAAGTTACTTAATTCTGCTATCACAGTTGCTGCTTTCTTCCGCTTCAACGAGAACTTTCTATTCAACCCCGAGCTATTACTGTTACTATCTTCACTGAAAGATGTTGAAGTAGTTGAGCTTCCACCGCTATCACCAAATTGAATCTCCAGAATACTATTAAGCTTTTTCACTTTGACCAAAACCTTGTATTTTAAGCTAGCAGGTGAAGGTAACTCTGGATACGTGTCAAGGCATTTAGAAACAAGGGCATCTCCTAGTACGTTCTGAAGAATTTCCACCATTTTCAATTGATTCAGCGAGGAACAATGTAGTTCTAGACTCAATATGACAGGATAAGGAGAAGTAACGAACGCATATCTTTTGATGGTCTTGATGACATTAATAAATGATATTGTAGTGGTGAGTGTCCTACCATGACTAACAACAGGTCCTTCTTCCTTTTCTCCATCATTGGTCAAATATTCCCCGTCCCAAACATCAATCTCAACACATCTACAACCACGTTGAAGGGTTCTAACATAACCTTCAATAGAAGAGTCGCCAGCAACCTGCCTTCCCATAAGGTATGTATTGTGCAGTGAGGAGATAAAGTAGTGATGCAAGGGGTGGTCAAAATACTTTTGTGTTTCATGAAAGCCTTTGAAGGGGGAGGAATATTTGGATAAAAGAAAGTTATTAAGAGACTCAGGAGTCCAATTTATTGAACTCAAATTGGTATCAAACTCCTCAGCAAATGCAAAGTTTCGGAATATTGATTCAAGTTTTCTCTCTGAAAAGACTTCTTTCTGCTCTTGAGTAATAAATGCTTTGAAGGAGTCAAAATTAAACCCTTGAGATGACGATGTGTGAGTATTATGTAAGTCTTCGACAGCTTCTCTTTTAACTAACATCTGTACAAACGTTTTGAACTCTTCAAAGTCTATACCGGGGACATCATTGGAATCTTCCTTCACATTGGCAACCGAATCGAACAATTGCTTCAAGTAATTGATCGATATACTAATATTAAGTCTTTTGGAGTACTTGATAACATCATTAAAAGTAAGAAATTTCCGCTTTTCTCGGCTATCTTCCACCAAGACTTCTGTGTTAACGTCCTTCAAGTCAATAAAGAATTTCTTCGCCAACACTGAACGCAACGTTATCAAGCTTTCTATAACTGACAATAGCTTTCGTAGATCATGAGGTGAATTGGCTATTAGATGTAGTGTTTTAAGTATCTGTTTGGAGTGATCGTAATAGATTATAGTTAACCATCTTTCAGCTGCTTCCTTGGAGATGCAAAGTTCTTCTCTAAAGTTGGAAGCCGATCTATCGGATGCAATTGCTTTGATATCTTCCACCCCAAAACTTTTGATCTTGCCACCCCTACCAGCATTCCCGTTTGAGTTTATGGAAGCCAATGAAGTATTTTCAGACTTTAAGTACAGAAATCGAAAATCAGATGCATCAACCCGAAGCCAAATCTGTTTCCTGCTCTTATGGGAAACCTTGGTGAATGGAAGACCATCGTTTACCATAACTTGAGGAATCTTGTAATGAGTCAATTGAGAGTCTAACAAGGGATCTAACTCAAACATACTTTCTTCTTCCAGCTGCAGTGTTGATCTCTGAGCACCAAACGGCGACTCTCCTGAAACCTCGCTAGCCACACTATCCCTCTTAGAGGAATTGGATCTATATCGGAAAACATTTTGTTTGGGTAATGGAGCTTCCCGATCTGATAAGGGCAGTTGTAGTTGAGGGGGGCTTCGATGTAAATTCAAATGTCTAAACAACAGTTTCAAACCCCTTGACAAGTGTGAAGATGACGAATTAGAAAGGTCAGAATCGGACCCTCCGTCTGATGATGTCGACTTGTGTCCATTGCTGGGTACGACATGTATTGTGTGGGGATCAATGGGTGTAAGGTCACTCTTACTGTGGACCCTTTCCAAAGGTTTGAACGCGGGGGAATTTGCTTCATAAGACATCCCAGCCAATCCACCTTATATTGCAGATATCTGGCCAATTTTTATGTGCTTGTGAGTTATAACAAATGGTCACCTTGTAGGCGTAAATCATTTACTTTGAAGGGGAAACGAGAAGCAAGATGAAGTCACAGGTTTATATGCCGGTGACCCTCGGAATAAGCGAGGCACGTGCACAATATACGAATACACCCTAACACCAACGTATGTGGGGTTTGAGGGGGGAGATACGACCCCGAAGTGAGTCCTAGTAGAAATTACTTAAGGGAGTTTGTGTATATTAGTTCTGACATATATCATAACCATCTAATCAAATATCGGCATTTATCTCATATCTAACGTCCATGTGTGCATTGTCTTGAAGATATTTCTTAATATCGTTGACAGTGTATTCACCTCTGTGGAACAACCCAGCCCCCAAGGCAGCATCAACTCCACAGTCCATTTCAAACACCTCTTGGAAATGGCTAGGGTTACCCGCACCAGAACTTGCGATAACCGGGATTGAGGTCTTGGTCTTGATTTGTCTCAATAATTCAAGGTTGTATCCCTTGTTTGAACCGTCATGATCAATGGAATTCAAGAGAATCTCACCAGCACCCAAAGCCTCGCAGGCAACACACAATTCTAAAGCCCCCAACTCGTGAGTCTTTCTTCCTCCTTGTGATGTACATTGGTAATAGCAGTATTTCTCACCGTTGGGACCGTACTTTGTAGGATCAGTTATTTCAATCACACTCATCACAGTTTCTGAAGGTGAACTGACGTACTTTCTCTTCGGATCAACACTAATGACAACTGCCTGAGCACCAAAAGTAGATGAGATGGTCTCAATCGAGCTCTTACCAGTGGATTTCTTACCATTGGCATAGTATTGTTCTGCTATAGTGACAGCATCAGAACCAATACTGACTTTATCAGCTCCGGAACGGAAATATAAGTCGGCAACTTTGACTGCTGGTACTAATGCACCAGTTTCAGGGTCAACCATGTCTTTAATACCACCACCAACAGTCAAGGGTACGAAAACAGTTTCTGCAGCCTTCTTTAATACTTGCAACATTGGCAAGTCCTTCAAGGGAGAGTTACGGAAGGAGGTGATATTTAAAAAGGTCACTTCATCTGCACCTTGGGTGAAATAACGGGTAGCCAACTCCACGGGTTTACCCAAGTTACGGACTTTTTCCTCTCCACCGTCATTGCTAGCTTCCTTCACGTTATATTGATCTCCTTTGGTAACCACCAAGTCGCCGTTCTCGTTGGATCGCACGTCCAAACAGGCAATAATTCTTCTACTTAAACCAGTGGCGGTAGTTTCGATACCGGGATCCTTGTTCACCAGGGTTGAGGCAGAGGGTGTGATTAATTTCTCATCTTCAAGGAAGCTTTTGATAACCTTCAATCCAGCAAACCCAGATTTCTCGGGATGGAATTGTGTAGCAAAGATGTTGCCTTTGGAGATGGCCGCGACAAAGCGTTCAGAACCATATTTTGCGAGCTGTAATTTCCAGCCTTCAGCTTCGGCCTTCTTTATATCTTCATCAGACACAATGGCAGCATATGAATGAACAAAATAATACTTGTTGGCGGGATTCATGCCATAGAGCAATTGCGAGGTGTTTTCCTTAGTTGAGATTATTGTGTTCCAGCCAATGTGAGGAACTGATTTTGAGATTCCCTCGCATTTGAACAAAGGATCGTGGGAGTTGAACTTACTTAACTTCAAGGGAATTAAACCAAAGCCTTCAACTTCAGGAGACTCTTCTGATGTCTGGAAAAATGCTTGTAAACCCACACAAATCCCAATAACTGGTTTACCACTGGCAATATATTCTTTAATGGGTTCACTGAGCCCACGAGCAAATACCTCATGAACAAAGTGACCATAGTTACCTACACCAGGGAAGATCAACTTTGAGATTTCAGGTAATTTCTGCTGTAACTCTGTTCCTGAGCGGATGTATGAGATGCTATAGTCCCCAATGCGTTTAATGGCATTGGCCAACGATTGCAAGTTCCCACTTTCAACGTCGATAATGTGAATAGTTTTAGTCATGATGCAATACGCCTTGATCCAAAAGTACTTCAATGACGCGAGAATTCAGTTGAATGCAATTGGTCCGTCTATAACTTGGAACCCAATCAATACTTCGTTTAAAGTATTTCCAATGAATACTTCCAACTGACCGTGAGACTGAAGAAACTAGCAACTTGTGCTTACATATTTATATGTGTGATAAGAAATCACTTCGAAAATTTTCGCATGAGTCAGAGACCAAAAATGAGTCTCAATTTTTTCTCTGTAACCTATTCGATAACTAGTACTAAATCAAATCTGGCTTCACCGTAGGTCCCATAATCTTCAATTAAAAAATACTACTTAAATTAGAAACTATCTAACGTCTTATTTTCTTCCATTTAAACCTTTTTCGTTGCCTGGATGCTCACCAAGACATGAGAACCCTCAACATCATCGAAATCGCGTTGACTGGCACAGAATGCACTCAATTGACCGCTTGCTTCATAAGCCTGTAATGCCGCATGTTTCAATAAATACATGTTCATCTCGTTCTTTGTATTGAGTGGAGCTACTCCAATTTTCACATACTCTGAACCAAAAACCTCCACTAATTCACTAGTTAACACTTCCACATAGTTAGGTATAATCTTGTAGTTGAGATCAAGCTCAATTCCCAAGTAATCCCATATATTGAAAAATTGCAGCTTATCTGTCTTAGAACAGTATTGAATAACAGGACATTCGAGTACCCCCTCGGGTTTAAGAATTCTGTAAAACTCACGAATAATTGTTTTCATGTTGTTACTAGTCACCTGAAATTGTAAATCACGAGAATGAATCAAATCAAACGAATTTGCTCCTAGTTGAGCCAACGTACCACAATAATACTGAAAATTAGCAGGTATGTTAGAATTTTGACGTTGTGACTCTCGCGAGAGCAGAACAAATTGTTCATTGGTCATCAAGCGATAACTGAGCCAAAGGCTGTGACTATTAATCTCTTGAAGTTTCTTGTAGAAGTTAGCTTGAAGAAGAGTACTACCCAGATCCAAAGATTGCAATGATACTTTCGATGTCTGTTCTTGTTCAATGTTGTACACTGCATATGCCCCATTAATCTTTTCCTGATGTTGAAAATTGGTGTTGTGCTCATAAATATTCGCAAATGGCATCCTCAATGCCATATACCAACCATATTGGGAGCTAAACAATTTGTTGAAATTAAGAACTCGAACTTGTGAAGATAAGGTTGGGATGCTTGATGATGAAGTGGTGGAAATATTCGAGGACGAAACAAAACTTGGGGTAGTATGAACACCTCCCTTATTTGAAGATTGCTGTTGCAATTGCTTGAATCTCACAAACTTATCAAACATTTTAGTTAAAATCCTTATATCAGTCAACGAATTATTGTTAAATTTAGTGAGAAGCGATAAGTGGTAAGTCTCAAGTTTGACAAAATCATTCGCTGATCTCTTCACTGCATGAAGTAGATATTCCATGTTCTCTGGTGATTCTAGAATATTTTCGAAGTTGCATGTTGACGTATTGGTGTTGGAAGGTGAAAAGTCTATGAAGTCTTCTGTTAATGGTATACCTTGCAGCTTACCTCTCAACTTCGTATTCCCTACAAATGAACTGAGGATTCGCCGATTAGCATAATGTGCTAGTTCCACTTCATTCAATTGCTTATATTGCTCTACTTCGAGAACAGGCAAGTAAAGCAAATAGCGTATGTAATTGACAAAATTGGCCACAAGACATCCTTCACTTGGAAAAGTGTTCTCACAAAATAAATTGCAGATATATGTTCGTATAAATTGCTTCATCTGAAGGAGCTTAAACGTCAATTTGTCAAGCTCCATACGAAGTTCAGGGTCTTGAACTTCGATCCCCACACGGATGGTATCAAATTCCTTAATAACGTCTTGTTCCCGAAGATGGTATCGCATGTCGATCGAAGGTGCTTGTAATCTTGAACCTTGTATTTGGGCTGTCGCTCTTCCCAAGAATGTTGTGGGCCCGGACCGGCCGAGATCCACAGTTTTATTTTGCGCTTTGGTAATTGATGGAGAAGGAGATATTTGATCCATACACAGATTTGTATTCGATTCTGGTAAACTTCGATTACTTTTAGTGTCTTCCCCTTCTTCGTCATCGTCATTGTTGTCAGCTAATTGATCTTCTGCAAAATTCTTAGCTATTTCATTCTTGTTGTTGGGTATGACACAAGCCAGATCTTCTTTAAGTTGGTTACTGTTACTTTGGGCCAATCTTTCAATAGCATTACATATATTTTGCAAACGGATACCAGCAAATGTAATAGGATCGGAAGGTCTCACATCTGACATAAAGCTAAGATAATGTTCGTATATGAGGGTCTGATATGAAGGAGCATAAAAGTAGGATCCATAACCCTCGTGGTTCAAAACTGAAAGATCTGTTATGACATTGAAAATGGGAACTCCAACAGCACTGACATATGGTGGTGAAATCAATTTCAGATTTCCATCTGGTTGTGACACCGGATGCAGAGAGATCAGGTCCGAGTGATACTTAAATGAATAGTTATCACTTTCAGCATCGTTGTGTAACGTCTCGAGATCCGTAACAGATGTATTATTTGTGTTCATTGAATGAGTTTCCGATACGTCTGCCGTCTCCTTTATACGTGTGAGATGCAACCCTGAGTGGAGCGATTGACCATCATAATTTTCAGTTGAACGAGAGCGAACCGAGTGGGATAGGAACCCGGGTCCAGTTTCAGAGACTGGTGTAGAGGATGATGTAGAGCCTGGTGTCGTGGCTGGAGACCCACTTCCAATACTACCAGCTCTATGTTGCCTATGATGTCTATGCTTTTTATCTGAGCTTGACGAAGAGGATGACGATGAAGATCCTGACTTCTTCTTTTTGGCATCTTTGGACTGTTTTAGTTTCTGTTGAGTCTGGTACAGCACTGCTGGAACAATGAAATACGACATTGTTACCAAGACTCTGTGACTTGATTGATCTAATGAATATATACGAGTGCTATGGAATAAAGAAAGCTTAAGAGCGAAGTCAAGGGTGAACAGTATGTGCTCTCACATAGAAAATTTAAAAGAGGGTCGCAAAAACAGTATCACAAACAAAACATCTCCTGGTTCACAAACGAAGGCCGAATATACGCCCCATAGTGGAACGAAAATGATAATGCACCTTCACTATATGGCCAGGTATTTTCAATTTAGATTTCTCGCTTATTACAAGGATAGTCGAATAAGAGAATAGAACGGCTAAATGAGGTGAATCGGTGCATTTGTATGCGTCGAGCGTTGCATTGTGTGTGGGGGCCCAATTGATGTCGAAAGATAAGGATCCAATTAAACCCAAACCAAAAAAAATTATGCACTGCAGAGTAAAAAATAAAAGTCCCCACATTATGTCCTGTTTGTTTCTACTTTTAAAATCCTTCCGTTTCACCACTGAAATTATTGTTAATACACGGCTATGCAGAGAGCACACCCTAAAAACTGTATAACAGATGGCTTTCTGTAAACGAAAGTGTAATATTTCTGCTTTCAATTGAAATATTATACTCTCTTTTATTTGGACTAAGGCTTTCGTGAAGTACCACGCGCTACCATGACCTATGTCTTCGAGAGTTTCTATGTGTAGCCCAATAAGGAGTAAGATCTTTGAAATACCATGTTGAAGAATTAACTAGCCTTAGCAATTACTCACTTATACATTACCCTTAACCAGGAGATATGTCATAACTTTTAAAAAAAAAACAATGATAACTAAAGCACTTCTGAAGACAAGCTTTAAAGTAAGCTTTCAACACAAATGATGCACAAAATATGTGTCACAAATGATGCACAAAATACATCAAGGCTTAGGTCACTCAGACTCTGTCATTTTTAGGCGACAACACACTTTAGAATCGTACTATTAATGTGGATTAGGATCAAGTCAAACTTGCTTGGGCCTTTACGGTTATTGTATCATTTCAGTTGTGTTGGATACGAACATCATTGAACATTTTCTGTGCTGTGTATAATTTTTTGTCACACCTCCTGCTTTACTGTAGCTGCAAATTTAGAACAAAAGATGTATATGACAGTTGCAATAATCGAGCAGAAATACCTACAACAGATCTCAGAAACTTTATGAATACACGGCAAAACCTTTACACTAATTCGTGGCAGGCATCACCTCTTATCAGAGACATTTTGACTTCACTGCCCTCTTTTCCAAATCACCAAAAGCATATGACGTCTTACATTTTGGCCTGCACTTAATCCACATATTATATCTGTACTGATGAAGTCACATTTATGCTTGATCATTCCCTACTGCGTCTTTGGGTTCAATATGAAGTGCTTCGATAGATAAAAAAATGTGCAATATTCAAATCTGTTGCTTCTAGTTGTAATAGCAACTGGTTCAACGACAGTACAGAGTGAAAAATGTTATGGAGTAGCCGTTCTTAAACCCAGTTACATACAGCACAGCAACTTTAAATAGACTCTATAAATTAGCATCAAATTCCCATACTAATATTCTCGATAATATTCAAAACCGCTCTTGGCTACTTACTAGAAACACAATTATTACCAGCATCTCATTCAAAAGTCATAATAAAATACATGAAAGGCTCCAATTGGCTATATTTTCTTGTTTTCCTATTGTTCCCTGTAATTGCCATTACGTATTGGATTTATGTTCGAGGAAATAAGGAAAAGTACCAATTTCAAGTGAATCAAGTGTACCACGAAAATACTAATAAAGCACACAACATTAACTCTAATCAAGAGTACCACGCTGGAACTAACGTTGATCAAGAGACTTACAATAGGGCCTATGAAAGGGCCTGTGAAGCGCTAAAACAGAAGCATAAGAATGGAGGTGCTTGGCGCTATAACAAAGGCTTATTTTTCCATGGGGGGGTTGCTAACTAAAGTCATTACTCAAGTCTCATGAGACTTTCTAATCTCTCCTTTGCTGAAAGTCTTTCTGTCAATAACTTGTAGTTTTGACCTGCAAGAAAGAAGCCATATTCAGATTTCAGTGATGCGTTTGCTCCTAGAAAATCTTTGTATAGTTTATATCTATAGCCATAATCTGGTAAGGTGTTTGCAATATCATGACGATGGATCAAATCAGAAAGAAATTCAGTTTTAACTGCTCTCGCTCTTTTACCCAGAATTAAATCTGTCATAACAGTACCCAAACTCTCTTTCAGTGTAATACTATTCCAAAGCCATTGGCTTGAGGGAGATGTTTCACATTCATGTGTTAGAATAAATGCTGTTCCACATTGAACAGCATCAGCACCTAGGTCAACCAAAAAGAATTTGACTGCTGATTTATCGATAATCCCACCAGACGCAATAAGAAGTGTTTTGGATCCAAGAATCTTGCGGGCCTGTTGCACCAAAACCATGGTGGAGAGTCCCTCATCCAATTTTGCCTCTGTGGAAAGCCATGTTCCACGATGCCCACCTGCCTCGTAGCCTTGTAATACAATTCCATCAGCAAAATCACTCACCTCTGTTGCTTCTTCGATGTTAGTTGCAGTAACGAACACAAGAATTCCAGACTTCTTCAATTGATCTATGGATTTAAGACTTGGATATCCGAAATGGAAACTGACAATCTTTGGTCCAAATGCTTCTATCTCACACCATAATTTACCAAACTGTTCGGGGTGATTCTGTTCAATTTCCTTTATACTTATATTGCTGTTAGCTAAAGGGGCCTGCACATCTGGATTATATTTGGCATATAATTTTCGCCAATTCTCCAACTGAGTCGGATTAGGTTCAACTTGAGGTTCATGTGCAAAAAAATTAAGGTTAACTAATCTGGAGCCCTCAGTTAATGAATCAAATTCGCTCAAAAGTGACTTCGTTTGGTCAATCCCTTTGGAAGACGTATAATCAATGGCTCCTAGAGGAATAGATCCTATCCCACCTGCATTGGTAACTGCACTTGCTAACTTGATAGTTGAGACACCAGCCATTGGGGCCTGGATTAATGGGAATCCACATCCTGTACTCTTGGTGAAAAGACTCATTGTTGGCTAGCAAGTTGGGGGCAAAGATATGTATTTTTACTTTCTTCAAATACGAGATCACAAGCTTTAGAAAAGAACACTACTAATTACAAGGTATTGTGGTAAACTTGAAGACACACTTTTCAATTAGGATGTCCTCCACATTTCGTGAATGGCTCATTAGAAGGGAATTTTGGTCGGAGATATAACCTTATTGGGCCACCCCATGACGACAACAACTAAAAACAATAAATAGTGGGGAGAAGGAAAGAAAATTATCCACGGGTTTTGCTCATTTTACGAGGTATGGCCTTGTCAGTGAAATTCCTCGGTCTTAAGGTAGGTCAAGTGACTTATGTAAATAAGACTACATGGACTCCCACTGGAGTCATCTTTGCTTTATAAATCAACTTACCCTCTGAAGGTTACACTGTGAGCACAACCAATAAGTTGGATGCATATGTGATTGTAGGGTTTAGGCCAGGCTTATTACTAGCATTTGGTTTTGTAATATGGTGAGGAGAACCTTTAATTGGAACAACGCCGACTAACGAAAATATTCTTTAGGTTCAAGTCAAGTACTAAACAAAACTGTCAGAAACGCTCAAGTGTATGAAGTGGTTATGACACAACTCCTGTGTCTCTGTTTTAAACTAGGGGATTAAAAATCGTTTCATATGAAGTGGTCTGGAAATTATTACCCTATTTGGTAACTAAGCACGATTTTCTGATCTCGTTTACTCAACATTTTTATCTACTGCGATAAGATCAAAGCATAAATGAGCGATATCATCAAAATGTAATGCACAAAGGCTCGTCTTCTGAAGATCTATCTCACTTGAGTCTACGGTTATTGGAGCAGTGCTCTTGTTACGTGGGAAGGATCAAGTTTGTTTGCGATTACATTTATTCTAGGATAAAGCCACCTCATCTCGTTTAATTTTTGATTTGTTACTATTAAACTATATTAATGTTATTGCAACAAGTTTTACATTCTATGTGAGACCCTAAACCTACTTGTTCAAGACAAAGTATACACCAGCAGCAGCCAAAAAGATACCAACAGCAATTAAAGGAGTGGAAACACCTGATTCAGTGGCATCAGCAGTGGCAGTCTTCTTGGTTTCCTTAATAACACCACCTTCTAAAGTCCCAATCAACAAACCTTGCAAGATTTCGTGAGCATCCTCGCTGTGTCCAATATCTTCGAATGCGTCTGTAGCATCTTGACCACCGCAATCTAATATGACTTCTTCACCACCTGGGTGTTCATCGATGTATTGACCTACATCATAGACTTTACCGTTGTAGACAATCCACAAATCATCGTGGGTGTTGTGCTTAGAAATTTCCTCAAAAGTGTATGACTTTAACTCTGACATGGCGGAATAATATACCGAGTAGGTGATATATAAAGGTGGAAAGAAAGTAGAAAGAAAGGAAGAATATATCAAATTTATATGTACTGTATTTGTTTCTGACTCCGTATCAAAAAAAAAAAAATGTTTCTGGACAGGACAAAACAATTTCTCTACTCACCGCGATCACTGTATAACTCCCACAAATGTCTCTCATGTAGTGATTAAAAAATGCTCTAATAGGCAGACAAGCGTACAACTATATAGTGGTATAATCTGAAGTAGTTCTACCAAATTATACTTTTGGTAATATTATCGTAGTTAAGGGTCGTAGACATATCTATATGAAGCAGAATCAAACAGTGTCATGTGACAATTCAAGAAGTACACGCACGACTTTCCTATATTGTTGAAGGAAATTTTATCCAATTGAAGACATATTAGATGTCAGCGAACAAATGGATTGGTACAGCTCCGACCTGATAATGCCAACTTAGTTCTTGAGACCCTGCTATATTACCGTGTGAACATCTGTAAACGACAGTTACAAGCTTAATATTCATCATATTAATTTTGAACTAGAATTGGCATGAGAATGGGAGTTTTATTCCTCAAGCTAATGGCAAAATGAGGAGACTTTGTGAGTACCTACTCCTCTATAGCATAAGTTTCACGTGGAACTACGTCCCCTCAGCTTGAGTCACCTGTGCTTAAGCTTGGTCACATTCACATGTGTTCACACGTGAAAGCTAGCTGAGAATTTGAGTCACGTGTCGACTTACGTACGTATTTAAAAGGTCGTGCGAATGTTCACTTTGGCTGCAAAAAACAATTATTAGCGAAACAAAACTCACAATAGGATACCTACTATAATACTTACCTTCTCCATTAAGGATTAATTACTACAAGGAATCCATAATGATTTTAACTAAACTTAAGATATCATTATTATGTTCTCTTTTAATTTCTGTTATTGAAAGTTCAAGTATGTCTTTTTTTGCATCACAGCGGCTCTTTTGGAAGTTCATTAACTAACACTGTAAGCGCCAGATGTTTTAACAAGTCTGACCTCGTCGCTTCCAATAATAACTGCATCAACAGTCCCTCCTGTTGGCCGCAGCAGTGATCAGCATTTTCTGGAGTGCTCAAAGAGCCAATATGTTATTAGGAATCCCGCTGACCTCCATCAATTGGATGGCTGCGAATTGGTAAAGGGTGATATTCTTGTGACTGACTTCAATCATCCCTTACTTAGTTTTGGTGATAAGTTAAAACAAGTAAATGGAAGTATTGTTGTTGAGAAGTCTCCAGATTTGGTTCGTTTAGAGTCCCCAAATTTGTTTCTGATCACAGGGGCTTTCAAGTTACATCAATTAACTTCATTGTCACTTGTGCTGACTCCCAGTCTTCAAACTGTTAGTGGTTTGGATTGGCAAGTACTTCCTATTTTATCTAACGTCCAAATCTCTCCGGGTGTCTCAAATATTTCGACTATTATTATCAGTGACACCAGTTTAATGGGCTTTGCTGGGTTCAATTCTGAGGACTTGGATATTCTAGATATCAACAACAACAGGTTTTTGGATTCAATAAAGTGCAATGTTGTTAATATTAAGGAGAAGTTGCACATTGCTGCTAACTCAAGAGAATTGTCTTTAAGTTTGCCTAAATTAGTTAAGGCTAACAACTTGACTATTCATGATGTTTCCCAAGTTGACTTGGCTAACTTACAGATAGTCAGTAATTCTATGTCTATTATTCAAAACAACTTGAAGCTGTTGAAAGTTCCCTTCCTTTCAAAAGTTGGTGGAACTTTATCTTTGCTTAAGAATGATGGCCTTGCAAATGTTGATATTCCTGAGCTCAAAGAAGTAGGTGGCGGGCTTATGATTATGAATAATACTCGATTAGATAAGATTAATTTCTTACCGCGTCTAACAATGATTGGGGGGGCCTTGGAGTTGGCAGGGAACATCAAGGAAGCAAAGTTTCCCTCATTGAAGCTTGTTAAGGGATCAGCTATAATCCGTTCATTTGTTTCCCTGTTTGACTGTAATCGATGGTCACACTCAGATATCCGTTCCATTGTGAGAGGTGGAAAGATTGAATGCGGGATCGGCGGGAATTCACCTGTTGGGTATGGAACTCCAGGTTCACAAGTATTTGACTATAATACTGGATCGAATGGCAAAGGCAATGGAACTCATGAAATTTTATTTTCAAATGGAACCTCTAGCGCCTTGTCAATATTTGGGGCATTCCAAATAGGTTTTGCTTTGTTTATCATAGAGATGACCATTCACCTTATAAGATGAGCTTTGTCTGGTATTACTATATTTTATTCAGTCTAGTATGAGATCTGTAGTAACTAATAAATAACCTAAAATGGTTTCGTTTCACTTGTACAAATTTTCAGTTTCGATATATTGCATTATTTCCGGGAGCACCTTTGACTTCCATACTTCGTCGCCTTCCATGATTTCGTTCCGAATCAGAGTAGAGGAAATCACGCCTAACTCCGATTCCCCGTGGTTTTCGTTGATCATATGAATTGATTTCGACCACTGAGTAGGGATTTCGCCAATTCTGCCGTGGCTTATGTCATCGACATATTTTGTTTGAGAAACGCCACCTTTGCCTCTCGTTAACACGAACAAGTCACAATTCAACATAAACTCCTGTAATGAGGATGATAACTTGTCAGGTATATAGTACTTTGGATCCAATATTCTGGTTAATGTATCAAATCCAACCAAGAATGTTAATTTAGGATGGTCCACACTGCGAGCATGCAAATAATTGAATAATATAAGCGATTTATCAACAAACTTTGCGGCCTTGATTACTCCAATGTTTACATCGACCTGAAAAACCTTTTGTATGTAGTCAGCAGTGATCTTCATCATGTCAACACGGTGAATGGCTGCATCTAATTGGGTTGTTCCCTTATCTGCATTTTCAAGAGATAAAAGTAATAATACAGAAGCTGCATCGTTTGAAGTCGTGGAAGTTGGTTTGTTCATAGGAACTTTTTCGCCCTTGTACTCATGGGTAAGCGATTCTTGTACCAAGGCCAAATGACCCAAATGAGGGGGGTTGAAGGAGGAGTCTAAAACTAGTAAACGTCTAGGTTTCAGTGTTAACGCAGGAGTTGGTGTCAGATATATTATTTCGAATTTGGCTGCAGCAGACTCGAGGAAATCTTTGATCAATAGACGAAATTTCAGCATTGGAATGTACTGTGTTTAGTTTCAGTAACTTGTGTTGATGATGTGCTTAACTATCTTTGCAATAATGGCCAGTATATAAAAGAAGTAATCTTAAATGTATAAGCGATTCTTGTAAATATTTTATGAGGAAGAAAAATATCAATTGATGCAGTAGACTTATGATTATATCAATTGCCTACTTATAAGTTTTGCGACAATGATAGAAAGTAAAGAGAAGAAGAAGAAGAAGAATGGGCCAGGTTATCCTTTCATCGTCAAGAATCAATTGTAATATTAGGTTGCTTTGTCGCGCTACCGGTTTGGATCTCCCCACATGAACATTACAAGTGACCAAAAGGGCCCTTCAACAATAATATTAAACTATGCAGTCCTATTCAGTTCATTAAGGTTTCTAATCATTCAAATTTAGCACGTGACCTATTCATAATTCGTCTCTAACAATTTTCTTCTCCTTGGTTTTACCACCAATGTCAACTAATTCGGTATAGAAAATCAAGGTTGCCTTTGGAGGAATTGGACCAATACCTTGTTCACCATAGCCCAATTCATGTGGAATAGTCAACTTACGCTTTTCTCCGATACACATACCCAAGATACCTTGGTCCCACCCTTCGATAACTTGACCAGAACCTAACTTAAATGCGATAGGTTGGCCTCTGTCATAAGAGTTGTCAAATGGCATACCATCAAGAATTTGACCTCTGTAGTGGACAGAAACAAAGTCACCAGCTTCAGCAGTAACACATTCATCTGCAGGGACTGCGTCTAAGATTTCTATAACAAAGTTTCTGTTAGCAAGTATATTCTCATTTCTAAAGTGCCTGCTGTAGCTTTCACATCGTTTTTACATACCGATTTGGACTTCGGGAGCACAAGATCCCAATCCAAGCAAACAGAACAATCCAATTGTTTTCCAAAAAGCCGCCATTTTAGTACAAGGTATCCAGTAACGTAACTACTTATACTAAAGCTTAAGAGGAACTAGTGAATAAATTTAATTAGTATGTTTAAGTCAAACCTAAATACTTTGTTCACTTTATCCAGTCGTGCCCAAACCGCAGAGATATATACAGGTGTCTGAGTCCTCCTGTTTCCTTTTGGTCCGAACAGTATAGTTTACATAATGATATTTATGCACCATCATATATCATATTGTTACAATAGGCTAAATTACCTATATACTTAATATATATAAACATACATAAAACTTTCACAGGGTTTCAATTGCTTCCAATCATCACTTCAGCATATCAAAGTCCCCACTCTCAACAATATATATGTATACATATTTTATCCTATCATACCCACATTGCAAACCTAGCTAAATATAATAAAAAAATAAAAGGATTCTTTTTTTTATCTGTTTACCAGAACATTCAAAAAAAGGAACTGGAGTTAATGAACAAAAAAAAAAGGAGAAGTCAAAATAGAAAATAACTTTTTCTTTCATAAAAATACAGGAAGGTAAAAACCAGAGAAGATCAAAGAAGCAAAAAAAAAAAACATTGATCTCACTTCTTTTCTCTTTATTGTACAACTAAGCGACCATCTTCTAACTCGTCAATGGTCGATTCAACAACTTCATCGTCATCATCCTCTTCTACTAACTCAATAGTTGCATACTTGATCATGTCCCAACGTTTCCAAAACGTCAACATGTCATAGTAATCATCAGAGTCAACCAAGTCTTGTAAAAAATACTTGGCTTTTGTTAAGCGTTCCTTCAATTCTTGCAACTTACAGGATGAAGGATTCGTCCGTGGATCACAAATTGAAGGTTTGGAAGTTGCAGAAGAAGAAGTTGCTTGTATAGGCGTATTCATGATCGACATACGCATGGTTGACATGGTTGCATTGGCCCCATTATCTGAGGGGATAGCACCAGCCTTATATGAGGCGATCTTATGGTCGTAATCGCTATCGTAATCAGTTAAATCTGTGTCGTTTTCTTCATCACTCGTGGGTACTGCATTTTGAGGGGTATTAATGTGAGAACCACTTGAATGCTCATCATCGTAATCCGAGGCAACCAGTTCAGGTGTACTGTAGCCATAAACTTCGTCTTCAACAACAGAAGTTGCATCACAATAACTTGCCCAAGCAGCATCAATTGCACCCACAAGGTAGTCAAAGCAATGAGCTCTAGATGCCTTGTCCTTTTCTAAAGCCAAATTGTTGGTACCACAAGTAGAACCTGGAGAACCAGCAGCAGTAGAAAAACCAATGGGACTAGAAACGGCTGGAGCTTTGTGAAAAGACTCTACTCCCATGTTATAATGCGTACAGGAGGGTTTAGAACTATTTTGCAACACTTCACAATCAGATGAATCTTGAGAGAAAACATTTTCATTCTTCACAGAAAAGGAAAAAGATCTAAGGTTAGATGATCTCAGCCTTTGGTGGGAATTAAAAGGTCTAGAGGGACCAGGGCTGTAACCTGCAGCATAGTTTTCTTCGTCATTTTCAGCTTCATCTTCCAGGTCAGTATCGGAATACTGCGACACAGCTCTTGACAATTTAGGGTTGCAGTTAGAGAAGCTTTGAAGGCGTTGACTAGCTCTACGTTTGGCTTTTAATTGGTTCAAGGCGTATGATAATTGTTCATCACTTGATTCGCAATCATCAGTGTCAACATCAGAGGACGAGATAGTGGACAAATCATCATCAACAATTGTCACTGAGGGGTGACGACCAAACAGAATTGAATTAGAACGAGCACCACCACCGACACCTAAAGAGCACAACTTTTTAACGTTTGAACCAGTGGCAGGTTCAGCCATGTCATTATGACACCGCTTCAAAGGGAGGTTTGTGATATTATTCATAGACACAAAACGGTTCAGTTGTGAACCGATAACTACTTCTTAAAAAAAAATAGGCAATCGACACAAAAGACTTAACTTTGTGGTCTTGGAAGCGACTGACAAAAACCAATAAAGGTGTCAATCAAAGGGAGTTCAAAAGGAATACCAGTCTGCTAATGAAAAACCGCACCAATAATGCACGTGTATGAATCAAAAGGGACTGTATGTAAGGGTGAAAACTGACCAATCACAAAACGATTCTCGCACGGGTGGCAAAAATTGAAGAAAAAGGACAGCACAGCAAACAGAAGAAGGGATTTCAACCAATCAGAGTTGAGCAATCCGGTAAAAAATTAAAGCTGAGTAAACAGTTCAATCAGGGATTCCCTAATACTGTAGCACGGTAGATAATAGCAGTGACAACTATATATGCATCAAAGAACTCACCTGCTTCTTGTATTATCAAGATAGAGGTGCACCGATCAGGGTGTTAAGTCTGTTGAAATAGATGTTGCTGTTGCTCTATATTACACTATGAAAAGTGTAGTGAGAACAGGGATGGGTCAAACCGTGAGGAAAAAAAAATTGGGCAAAAGAAGAGAAAGAAAACTATACAAAAATGTCATTCGAAATTTTAATACTTTTTTTTATTTTCCAGTGACTATTTATTTTTCACTGGTAGCAATCATGGTAACCGAGTTATGTGCCTGATTTTGTGTGAGCGAATACTATAGAAAGTCGTGTATTTGCTCTCAAAGAATATTGTTTGTTTTTAGTTGGACCTGTTTCGATACGCCTGACTTTCCTATTGGGGTATATTTGAAATTAAAATATTTGAGTTAGTTTATGCGTGCACTCTCAACAATTGGTTGCTGGAGCGAGAATAGTTTTGTCGCGCACTTCCTTGTTTATCAAGTAGGCTTTCTTGCATTTTGCTTAAAACCTTACACGAAGGGGGGATAGGGGGCGGACTCAAAATCTAGTAGCTTCAAACTACTCTTTATTACATCAAATTGCATGTGAGAGAAGGGCGAGTCTTTTACTGTGTGCACGTACCCCCTTTATTAGATACCTTTTATGGATTGTTGGAACTATCAAAGCGTTGGTCTGAAAAACGCACTGAATATTATCAATCGAGAAGGATCTGATCTTCCTGTGGTTGAAGAAAAACCGTCAACGTAATGGGATAGATATTTGCCATATTCTGAAATTCAAATAGATGCAATTTACATGGTATTCTTTCTGTTCTTGAAGAGTGTAGTATTATTCAAGTTTACATTCATTTACTAATATCATCACACCCGTATGTCTATGTAACCAGAAATCCCATAAAAGATTCTGTTACGTTTGTTATTATAATTGTTCAGCAAACATTTCAGCCGCATCTAAGACACTGATATGTCCTTTATCATCATATTTCTCATCATCGGCCTCAGAGCCCAGTAAGCCTTTGCTTTGAGAACTAGTGCGACTGACACCATAGTTATTCACTTGTACTTCAGGAACGTAGCCCAAGTTTACTAGTCTTTTTGAAGGTGAAAAATATTTGATATACTTGGGATCTTGTAAGTCGAAATTAGTGGCAGGACTTGTAGATGATTCAAGCATATCGATTTCCTCAAACCTTGTAATGTCATTAGAAGATGGGGTTGAAGGGCTATTATTTGCAGCACCATTAGAGTTAACAGATGTTACAAATGACGAGATTAACTTTCCTTTTGATCCCCATGTGGAATTATTCGCCTCTTCAGGCATTAATAAAATTCCAGAGTCGCCTTCGGCATTCATTGATTGACCTTCAAATTGTCTTTGAAGCTGTTCACGTTCTTGTAGAAAAAACAAGCGACGTTGTTCTTGTTCATTCAAATTATCCATTGATCTTTGAAATTGAGCCAATTTTTCATTATTCAGTAACTCGTTCTCTAATGAATTCAACAAGTTAATCATAAACTGAATGAAACGATTGAAATTGTCGTAATTTAACAAAAAGTACTCGTTGGACAAAAACTTGGTATAGAAATATTTAGCCATTGGTATAGAAAGTTTCAACATAACGAAAAAGATCTTAATCGATAGAATTGTCACTTGTTCAAATTTATCAAGAAAATGTGATTTCCCGCTTCCCTGGATGAACATTCTATCACCTCCAGTTATTCCTTTCAATGATTTCTCATATTCCTCTGCCGGCATCACAACATAATTGTCCATTTGCGAACTTAACTGATTAAACATTAGCTGTTTGGTGTCATCGTCCAATGATAAGAGAAAAAGCTGGATGCGTCGTTTCTCTTCTTCAGCCAATAGTTTCATTTCTTCATTGTTCTCCTCAGATTCTTCACTACTATATGCTTCTTTAAGGGGTGATAAATCAGTACCTATTTTTTCTTTCTGTGGACCCAAGCTATTCCATCTTCCAAAGAGCCAACTGGGATTGACACTCTTAAGCGTACGTTGTAATCCTGGTGGCACATTTCCCACAAATCGAGATACAGATATATCAACAACTCGGCTCAATAGATATTCTTCCACTTTATTGATCCGACTGAAAATACCTGACATGTCCTCATCGGTAGTCTTCCCCTCGATGATAGTCTCGGCAGCTGCAGTCATGGCTTCTTGTTCCTTTTGCTCCTTCTCATATACCAGTAAATTCTTCTGGATCAAGTCGTCAAACTTTCTGTTTTGTTGTAAAACAAAGGCATCAACCGAAGCCTCGGGCTTCCTAGAAAATCTTCTTATATATTCGTTTTCAGAATCGGTATCATAGGTTGTGGTATCAGACATCTCAGATGAACCTGACTGCAAATGGTCTCGAGAATTCAGGGTACTGGGTGGATATTGGTAAGTTGTTCTTTTGTTCACCAAAGTTGAGTGAATCTTATCTTGAATATCATGTGCTCGCGATATTCGCAGCACCTTGGCCGAAAGTTGGCCTGTAGCGAGTGACGTGCTACTTCTTCCATTCCTGGTAGATGCACTGTTGGCTGATTCAGGGAGTTGATTAGATACGGAATCAGATTGATGATTACCGACTATTCTCAGAGCTATTCCTACCACGATTCCCTTTATTATGCTAGGTATCATGGAGGTAAGATCAGTTTGTGCGGGGGCCGAGATAAAATAAACACCAAAATTCACAACTTATGGAGTATACGGCAAATACTTTATTTATTTGATTATTTTTTTAAGAACTCACCTTAATTATATGGAGTTTTAATTCTACTTTATGTTAGTATACTGATAAAATTGTCCATTAAGTCTCCTAATGATTTTAGTTCTATGTTGGGATAAAGAGCTCTCACTATACCCCAACAAATTGGTCTAACAGAAGCCTGTATCAAAATGCATGTGTCGGAGATGAATTTCCCAATAAGGCGGTGCCGTATCGGCGCAACCATGTTCGAAACTCCCTTGCTGTTGCAAGTTGGAACTCCGAGTGGAACAGTCAAGGCGAATCGTGGTAAATCCTACTTAGAGGGGAAGCAGGATGACGGGAGACAATATTTATATAAAGCAGCACAGAGAGTATACAAATGAACTCACTTTTTTGTATTTGTTCGGTTTGATTCTTTTACCCCCTTACTTTGGTTTCCACTACAAGGTTCAATTTTTGTTTAGCATTCCCACTACTACCCAATTCAGTAAAATATGAGTTTCGTATTGAAATGGATGTCTAGAAGATTATTAAGAGATAATCAATGGAATCGACTTGGGGTTGAAGATCCTTATTATGAGTTCCGTACTCTTCCTAATGGCAATACCCAAAAGGTGAAACGAGGCACTCCGGAAGGAATACTGGACAATGATACCAAGGTACTTAATACATTCCGGAGTCGTGCTTATCGTTATGATATGTGGTTTGTACTTTTTGGAATAAAGTTTGGGTGGACTAACATTGTAGGATTAGTTCCAATAGTGGGGCCCATAGTCTCAACGTTTTGGTCGCTTCAATTATTATGGCTATGTAATACTGGTTTAGATGATCGTTTCCCGCTTGATTTACTGCTTATTTTTGTGTTCAACATTGCCATTGACTTCGCTTTTGGTTTGATTCCTATAGTCGGGGATTTAGTGGAGGTTGGTTACAAATGCAACTCCCGTAACTTCTTGCTTTTAGAGAAGCATTTGACCCGTGTGGGTCAAAAGAATATGGGGATTATTCCCGAGGATGAAGTGCGTCCTGGTTTCATTAATGATAAAGTCCAACCATTTGTGGAAAAGAAAGTGGCTCCTCAGGCAGTCAAGGCTGGCGAATTGACTGCCGAGTTTGTGAAAAGTAGAGTAGATGCATTCAAAAAGCGGAATACTGATAAAGAGGATACTGTTGTTTCAGAATCTTCTGTGAAATCAATTGGTTCCACTGATTATTCAAATATTTGAGTCACTTCATTACATACAATACGTCATTTACATTTTATCTCTAAGAATATATATCACTAGAATAGCAATGCTCGTATTCGGTCCATTAGTTAACCCTCTCACGTTTGTCGGGTGCCTTGTTCATGTGTTGTAGACCCTTAATCTGTGATAGTGTGACTATCATCTCTCAAACTTCGCCTCGTAAACATGTGTGATTGGAGATCATAGTCAAATCATATGCACTCCACAAGAATTTTAGCCAAAAATCGTTAATAATAACCTCGATCTTTTCGTGATCTCACTTTCATTAGTTTGAACCTTTGTCAACATCCTACATTCTGTACCATTGGTTAAAGAAATCTGATGGTAGAATCAGTTGACTTGGATGGCCACGAGGCTGTCACCAAACCACTTTTATTGGATACTCTAGAAGCTGAAAAAAATGCAGTTCCTGGTGCCACCTCAGAACTTCCTACAAATCATGATGATAACGCAGAGCAGATCGAGCAGATCGAATTGGGAACATTGAAATCAGTGGAAGTACCTTTAACGGATCAAAGGTTTGATATTGAATCTATAAAGTCAACCGAGGCCATTTTGGAGACTACACAAGATCAGTTGAACCAGCTGGGGGAAATCGAAGGACATCTGATTATCACTGAAGCAGAAATCAAGCCAACATTGGCTAAATTCATGGCCACAACGCAAACTGGGGATTTGGACGCTGTGAAGGAGTTGGTAGAGTCAGGTGGCATTGAGGATGTCAATGAAACATTTTCTGACGGTATCACCGCATTGCATTGGGCTTGTATCAATAACCGACTATCCGTGGTGAAATACCTTTGTCAGAATGGAGCCGATCCAAATCAATTAGGTGGAGATTTGAATGCCACCCCATTGCACTGGGCATGTCGTAATGGTCTTGTTTATATTGCTGAGTATTTAATAAGTGAAGCAGGTGCCGATCCTAGGTTACGCGATGTTCAAGGTTACAACGCGTTGCATTTATCTATCCATTCACTGAATATCATGTTGGTGCTCTATATGATCTTAACATGCTGCACTCCAAGAAATGACAAGCAGCCACCATTACATATTGACGATCCCGATGTTGCCAATAGAACTTCGTTACATTGGGCTGCTTACCAAGGTGATATTACTAGTGTGAATTTGTTACTTAGATTCGGTGCGGATGTGAACAAGGTTGACGATGCTCTTTTTTTGCCTATCCATTGGGCTTTCATGAAGGGATATAAAAATGTTTTGAAGACCTTGATTGAGCATGGTTCAGATGTTTCAGCAAAGAACAACCAGGGTAAGGATTGTTTTGAGATTGCTAAAGATATGAATATTTACAAAATGTGGATAAAGGTACTTAAAGAAGCAAGAAGAGATCCAAAAAATAATTGGGCTAACAAAGCTCCTCCATCCATATTAACTCCAAAAATTGGTAAAGTGATCACATTTCTTTCTCCTTATGTCTTCTTGCCTGTTTCCTTCAATATATTGGATTTTAATAAAGACTACCCAATACCTCGTATTTTTGCTGCTATATTTAGTTGTGTGGCAACTATTTACTTGGTTCAAAAGTTCATCATTCCAAGCTACCTTATTGATGATAGACCCTTGGCAAAATCCCCATTACTTTCAGGGATCTTCTCTGGTACAGCCTTTTGGTGTATTGTTGTTTTCTTGTACAACATAATTCCCAAGTTAATACTTCTGAAGCATATATTTGGTATTTTTATCCTTGCGTCCCTTATTTCCATCTTCACATATACATTCTTCAAGTCAATGTTTATCAACCCCGGATATGTTGCAACACCCGCAGATAATAAGGTTATTTACAATCAAATGATGACATTGATTGCTTTAGGTAAGTTTGATATTGATCATTTCTGCATTCACACCCTTGTCCGCAAACCCTTGAGATCAAGATACTCCAGAGCTACGAAAAGATTAGTTGCTAGGTTTGACCATTTCTGTCCCTGGATTTATAACGAGGTTGGAGTTCGTAATCACAAGTTATTTTTGATTTTCGTTTACACGTTAGCTCTTGCAGTTATCTATTTCACCGTCCTTAGTTTCAAAATGTTTGACAAGGAAGAAGACGGTTACGACAGCGATGTAGAAGGTGATCTTAAGTGTTGGTTACTTAATGAACAATTATGTTTTGGGTATAGCAAACATCCATTCCATTTCAATTTGATGGTATGGTGCTGGTTGCAGTTTATTTGGATAGTGTTCCTTTGTTTAGGACAAACATTTCAAATACTTAAGGGTTTAACTACTTGGGAGTTCAGCACTTTGGGCAGAAGAATTCAGATTCATAATCATTCTACATTGCCTTTGGACTTTGCTAGAGCTATTGGAGGATCTACGGCTAACTCTGGTTCTGGCTCTGACTCCCTTGTTGGGGCAACTTCAGAATCAATGACCGGAAATTCAACACCAGAACCTCAAGAATCAACGACCGGTGCTATGTATCAACGAAATGAATCGGACCTGCTTTTCAAGTTATTGGGCTTGGATCAATTTTATCTTACTTTCAAGATTGTTCTTATTCAATTGATTGAAAAGATAAGTAGCAAACATGGAAATAACTCGTCACATTTAGAATACACATCCTTAAGATCCATCAACATCCCTACTGATTTCGGTTTCAAGCAAAATTGGTTGGATTTTTGGTTTTTAGGTGAGATCAAGTGGAGAAATTTGTTTTACCTACCAATACAAGGGGAAAACAACTTAAATGGGAGGGTTGTGGATTATTACAAGTTGTACGAATACCCTTCCAAAAACGCAGAGGTCGTTGTATAGTCAAAAAATACATTCTCTCTCAATTCATCTATCTAAAGTCGCACTTTAATAGACTTCAACATTACGTACCATAAATTCAATTGTAATTGCACACCAGCAACCTACAATTGCAATGATAGGTATCATAAAAGACAAGTATCAAACTATGAAAACTACTACAGCATCATGGCAGAGACAAATACAGAAGATATGAGCACTTGAGCGTCATAGTAGATGACAAGTACGGAGAAGACAAGCACTATGTGGGCAAAAGTTTCCAAAAAAACCTTTGCAATTAAGTGCAGACGAAAAAAAAACTATATAGTGGCCGACGAACCAGCATAGGTGAAAGCATTACTACAAGTTTGATAACTTGTCAGACAGCCACTTCTTCCCACCCAATTCTAAAACTCTCGAAAGAGTGCAAAGTAGAGGGTAAAGATCATCGCTCCTTTAATAACGTACAAGTCATATGACAAGCACAGCTAAAGGCAAAACATAATCGTAGATGACTGGACCGCAAAGGGTCACAGACAAGCTAAATATTGTTCTCACTTTGAGGGAAGAAGGGTAATCTTGCTCATCAACCAAGTTGGATTCAGTGGCTCTTTTGAAGAGTCAAAGAGGGACGTGACCTATAGAAATGATCCTATGAAGTACGTCGACAAAGAAAAAAAAAGGAAACAAGAAACAAGAAAGAAAGATGCAACTTTTCACCTTCTTATATAGTGTTTGCAACTGGTGCGGGTAACCCTGCTGCGATGAGCATCGCAAAAAAATTGTGCTTGTTTCCACAACAACTAGCTGAAACGAGCTTGCCACCCATTGCCATGGTTTCGTTGCACCATTTGAGTCGGATCTAAGGAGTAGGCTCGATACTATTGGTTGAAGTTGATATACTATGGTTACTGGCGTAAAAGATTTTCATATCATGAGATGAGCTGGTGCAGTTGTGTTGACTAGTAGTTTGATTACGTAATGCAGTAAGTAGCGTATTTACTCAAGGCATTATTAAATAGAACAATCTTTAACATAGGTTCAAGTATTCTGAAGAGACTAACTTATTTGGACTTAAAATGTCTTAGGTGAACCTATTTACTACAAGTACCAATACTGAACGGGCTAAAATGTCTATTCAAAAAACCAAAAAAAAAAAAAAAATCAAAGCCAAAAAAAAACCTCTGCAATTAAGTGCAGACGAAAAAAAACTATATAGTGGCCGACGAACCAGCATAGGTGAAAGCATTACTACAAGTTTGATAACTTGTCAGACAGCCACTTCTTCCCACCCAATTCTAAAACTCTCGAAAGAGTGCAAAGTAGAGGGTAAAGATCATCGCTCCTTTAATAACGTACAAGTCATATGACAAGCACAGCTAAAGGCAAAACATAATCGTAGATGACTGGACCGCAAAGGGTCACAGACAAGCTAAATATTGTTCTCACTTTGAGGGAAGAAGGGTAATCTTGCTCATCAACCAAGTTGGATTCAGTGGCTCTTTTGAAGAGTCAAAGAGGGACGTGACCTATAGAAATGATCCTATGAAGTACGTCGACAAAGAAAAAAAAAGGAAACAAGAAACAAGAAAGAAAGATG